TTTCATTGAGAGTAGGCAGCTGACTTTCAAAATTCTACCTGCATGGAAGGCTTTATTAGAAGAGGCTAAACAATGTTCACATGCCTCTTAATAGACAGATTTTAATTATGCTAATGAACCATCCATTTAGCCCTTGCTACTGCATTATTAGTCATTGAAACTGCAAACATAATTAAGATTGGTCTTTGATTTTAAGAGGATGACTGTCATGGAAGAAGTGACAAGAATTAAGATTATTCCCATGAGAAAAGGGACAGGCACTTAATCTGAGGTCACTGAGGATACTTTCAGGAAAATGGTAGGATCTGATGGACAAAGAAAAGGAAGGTAAACCACATGTCCAGACAAAGTACCACGTGGGAGAGAAAAGGTGTGTCAGCTGGAAGTGTCAGGAGCCCCTATGCGATGGGAGAGTTCCCTAGACCCCTTCATGGGACTTGCAACAGGGATGTGGCTCAAACTTTTTGTAGGAAGGGGAGCACACAGGCAAGCGGGTGCAGCATCTGGGGTGAGCACTTTTGGGCTCTGGCCCCATGGTAGTGTCTATGGGTATGTTACAAGTAATGCTCTTTTAGCAGTTGCCATCAGGGATGGCTAAGCATTAACCGGCTCAGTGGAGACTCAGGGTGACAGCCTTTTACCCCCTGCCCCCTTGGCACCCAGGTCCTTGACTAGTGTCCAGGAAGAATCAGGTTGCCTGGTTTTATTGATGATGGAGGTTGCTCTCAGTGGGATGGGGAGCTGGAAAGGGGATGAACTGGGAAGAGAATCTTCCCCTGGAGTTCAGCCACTCTCAGCCAAACTCCTGCCTCTTCAACATCCAGATGCTGCTTCTCCTCTCCACATTCAGCCTCTTGTTCTGCTCTCTCCTCTGCTCCTCTGCCAGTGGAGCTTGGGGTTTTTATGGGTGCAGGATTGGGGGGCATGGCAGGCCAATATGGTTTTGGGAAAGCAACATTTGGGCAGGAAAACAGGGATGTGAAGTTCTCATTAGGACTGTGGGCTCAGGCTTTTAGGTGCCTTGCCAGGGACTTTGCCCTGTTCTATCCAGTATTTCCCTGCCTCCTGGCCATATCACCTGTACCTAGAATGTTGAGTTGGAAAAGTGACCCCAGGAGGGAAGGGGTGGGAGAGAAATCCAGCTCAAGGGAGGCCTTCTTCCCTGTGCCAAGGAGTTCATATTTATACCCAAAACAATCCTGGGATATTTTTAAATGTTCCCCTCTAGCTCTTGTCATTCTCCTTGGGTCATCTCAGATAACTCCTTCCACTCTCTTCGTATGTTCTGCTACTGTTTTTATCGGTAACCTCAAGGTCTACGAGTATCTCTTAAGCATTTGCATTTTTCTGCAGTTTTGTGGCCAAGTATGCAACACCATAAGACAGGCTTTGGAGCAGAGAGAAACCATGCTGTGTTCTACCAGCCACGTCACCTGAGCCAGAAAAGCAAACCATTCACAATAGTACAAATATCACACAATAGAATAACAAATTACCATTGTAATTATTTATCACCATACTTAATATATTTTGAAGATACATTTAAAGAAAGTCAGGAGGGGGCAGGGGATAGGGAAAGACCAAAAAAAAAAAAAAAAAGGAGGTCAGGAAATTTCTGTGTTTATCAAAAGGAGATAGGAAATATGACTCACTCACAAAGTATCCAAACGTCTAGTAGGTATCTCCACCTGGGTGTCCTATTGGCTCCTCCAACTCAATATATCCTAAACAAAACTAACAAACTCATCACCTAAAAGGGCTCCTCCTCCTATAGGCCCAAAGCAAGCCAAACTCTGTGAGCTGGGACCTCCTCAACCCTTCAATTTCCTGTCCCTTTCTAGCCTTCAAAAGGCAGGGTAGAGAAGACTGTTGAATTTGGAATATACCCTTCCCTGGGTTCTAATTTTAGCTAGACTGTTCCCAAGCTTCGTGACATTCTAGAAGGATATATGGACTAAATAGTGTCCAGAGAAGAGTAATTATAGCGTCCAAAGGTCTGGAGAAGATGGGCAGTAATAGTGCAAGTTTTCATTCCTGAAAAGCAGCTTTTGGTCTTTGAAGGGTGGCTTATGCCAGGGAATTGTGTACATTCATAAGAAAATCGTCCTTTCTTAGGTACTTATGGTTTATGGGTGGCATGACATACAGTGTGGTTACTACAAGGCAACATCAGGCAAGTCACCATAAACGGACAAGTTCATAATTGAAACCACATCCATGCTTTCGTGCTGGGACTATATAAACCACACTCTTCAGTGATACATGGAATAAACAGTGTTGCACCAGGAAGTTCTCATTAGCTAGAGAACTTCATTCTCTATTTTATTTTGCCTATTTCATTGTTCACTATGGATCCTCAGCACTTGGAATGAAGTCTGACGTATAGTAGACATTCTATAAAGATTTAGTGAATGAGTGAATGAATAAATTTGTCACATCTGATATTACTTCTCTGAAGAGAAGATTCAGGTTTAAAAAAGAAAGCCAAGGTTTTTATTATATGGCTGGTTGATTGGTTGGCTTTTTGGGCAGAGTCTCACTCTGTCACCCAGGCTGGTGTGCAGTGGTACGATCTCGGCTCACTGCAACCTCCACCTCCCAGTTTCAAGCAATTCTCCTGCCTCAGCTTCCTGCTGGGACTACAGGCATGTGCCACCATACCCAGCTAAATTTGTGTATTTTTAGTAAGACGGGGTTTCACCATGTTGCCCAGGGTGGTCTCAAACTCCTGAGCTCAGGCAATCCACCCGCCTCGGCCTCCCAAAGTGCTGGGATTATAGGCATGAGCCACTGCACCCAGCCTATTACATGTTTCTCTGTAAACCAGTTTTATTCCCATAAGATAAATTTAGGATTAATCTTACATCTGATGACAAGCCTAATAAATGAAAGAGCTTTGCATTCTTGAGCTGACTTTGGAATTGGGAATATTAATCCACACTACCTACCCCAGAAAATCCTGAAGGGAACTGGAAGAGTGAGCCGATGGGAAAGTAGCTGACTGCACTGTACTTCGCATTGGCTCTCCCCATTTCCCTGCCTAACTGGGTGTAGGATTGGACCAATTGGCCAGGCATGGTGGCTCACACCTGTAATCCCTGCACTTTGAAAGGCCAAGGCAGGAGGATCTTTTGAGCCCAGGAATTCAAGACAAGCTTGGGCAACAGAGGGAGACCCTATCTCTACAAAAAATAAAACATTAGCTAGGCGTGGTGGTGCATGACTGTGGTCCCAGCTACTCAGGAGGCTGAGGTGGGAGGAACACTTGAGCCTCGGAGTTCCAGGCTGCAGTGAGCTATGATCATGCTACTGCACTCCAGCCTGGCAACACAGCAAGACCAAATCTTAAAAAAAAGAAAAGAAAAGAAAATGATTAGCCAGTTAAAACAAGCAAAAACCATCAGTGGTCTCTTTTGTATCCCCCAGTTAAAGACTTGGGGGAATATGAAATCCTTGAATACTCAGAGTTTAGTTTGCTTTCATTTGTAGCTTTCTTACTCTCTGTGCTTTTACTCAGTCAACTGACAGTTGAGAGAATTTGGAATGTATATATCTAGAAAGTATAATTTTCCTGGTCCTAAACAAGAATGTCAAGTCTGGCCATGTAGATGGCTCCTGCCTGTAATCCCAGCACTTTGGGAGGCCAAGGAGAATGGATAATTTGAGGTCAGGAGTTTGAGACCAGCCTGGCCAACATGGTGAAACCTGGTCTCTACTAACAATACAAAAATTAGCCAGGCTAATTTTTCAGCTACTTGGGAGTAATCCCAGCTACTTGGGAGGCTGAGGCAGGAGAATCAGCTGAGCCTCAGAGGCAGAGGTTGCAGTGAGCCAAGATCATGCCACTGCACTCCAGCCTGGACAACAGAGTGAGACTCTTGTCTCAAAAAAAAAAAAAAATCAAGTCTAAGAAAGGATTAAATCACACATGTTGGCAGAATCTGGAATCTCCCTTTTGGTTGCCGTATTTCCAAGAGAAAAGGAAAAAAGGGCTCTACCTGCTTTTCTTCATTATCCTGGAGAATCTTGGAAGTCTATGGCCCGGGAATAAATTAGTGTCAGAAAACAGAGTACGTAGCAACATTCTCCCTGAATCGTAACATAAACCCATTTGCCTGGCGTGTCCACATTTCATTATACCAAATAAGTATTCTAAATTCTTTGTACATTTAATTGGTACCAACCAGCAGCCAGAGCTTGCTTTCAACTAAAGTGACCTGCTTCTACAGGAAGATTTACCTTAACTTCTCCTGCGGAAGACCAACACACGTGAATCGTTTCTGAAGTTGAATTAGGTCCTGTGGATAGAAGATACTCTGCTGGCCTTCAGACAGACTTCAGGATCTATTTGCTTTTTCTGGGCTTCAAATTTGTTTTATCTTAGACAAAGACCTAAATTTAACACAACTGATTCTTATAGTTATAATAGGGAAAGAAATAGAAAATTCACTAGGCAGTTAATATTCTTCTCAACCGTTTTTGAATCATTACGCCCTTACAAATTCCTGAAGTGTGCCAGTGTCTAATTAGAGCCATGAAAAATATGAGTTTCAAGGAATGATTCCTTTTTAAACTTTTTAATACTATAGCTGTGAAAAGCTCATCTACAAATATATTCAGTGCTACCAGTTGAGCATGGGGTTAAAAGTGGATGGGAACCAGATTTCAACCAAATGTAAGAAAACATATTCAAATGCATAAACTCGTCTGTCTGTGGAACTCCAGCAGGCCAGTCAGGTAGTTCTAGGATTCTCTAATATTGCTCCAAGTGGGAAGACGTGTTTACCCAGCCCTTGTGCAAAGAGAAAACAGCAGGAACAGGGATGAAGGCTGTTGTGATTCTTGTGGGAGACAGTGGCAAGAGGGGTCCGTCGGAAATGGAGATTTCATTTGGGAAAACGGGAGGTGCTGAAGAGTTGTATTGAAGAAATAGGTATCAAATTATTTGGGATCAGTGGTATACTTGACTCTGACACTTTACTTTCTTTCTTTCTGTACAGCCAGTGCAGATTTTCCATATAATCCAGGACAAGGCCAAGCTATAAGAAATGGAGTCAACAGAAACTCGGCTATCATTGGAGGTAGGTGATGTCTAGAGCAGGCTTATGTGGGGCTACTCACCTAAGTAGTAACTGTCAATAACACAGTAGTCTAGGAAAACAGTTTTCTAGATTTTTACATTATTCATTTTGCTGTTTAAATAGGACATAAGCTTATGAAGTATGATGTGAAGAAATATAGTAAATATGGCCAGGCACAGTGGCTCACGCCTGTAATCCCAACACTCTGGGGGGCCAAGGTGGACAGATCACCTGGGGTCAGGTGTTCAAGACCAGCCTGGCCAACATGGCAAAACCCTATCTCTACTAAAAATACAAAAATCAGCCAGGTATGGTGGCTCATACCTGTTAGTCCCAGGTACTGGGGAGACAGAGGCAGATGAATTGCTTGAACCCGGGAGGCAGAGTTGCGGTGAGCTGAGATTGCGCCACTGCACTCCAGCCTGGGCGACAGAGTGAGATGCCATCTCAAAAAAAAAAAAAAAGGAAATACAGTTAAATTGCCACCTGGCTACTTTTTTTTTCCCCCCTCTGAGACAGAGTCTCGCTCTTGTTGCAGGCTGGAGTGCAATGGCATGATCTCAGCTCACTGCAACCTCCGCCTCCCAGGTTCAAGCAGTTTTCCTGCCTCAGCCTCCCAAGTAACTGGGATTACAGGCATGCACTGCCACACCCAGCTAATTTTGTACTTTTAGTAGAGACAGGGTTTCTCCATGTTGTTCAGGCTGGTCTCGAATTTCCGAGCTCAGGTGATCCACCCACCTGGGCCTTCCGAAGTGCTGGGATTACAGGCGTAAGCCACCATGCCTGGCCAACCTGGCTACTTTTAAATGCTTGCTTATAAAAAACAAATGGGAGTGGCGAGCTGGACAAACTCAGAATACACAAGTAGGTAGTAGTGACCGCAGCCAGGACACTTCTTTATCCCCTCTGATCTTTTTCAGTCTCGTTCTTTCACATCTCAAATGGTCTAGAATAGCATAATATAAAAAATGAAAAGGAAAATCCCAGTTTGGTTTCAGTTACCATAATAAAGATTATCAGCAAATTACTGGAGGTCATTATTTTCAGTGAAATAAGCTAGGCATAAAAAGAAAAGTATTGCACGTTCTCTGATACACTGGAGTTAAAAGATTCGAACACATGGGGGTAGAAAGAAAAACAGGTAACAGAGACTGGGAAAGTTGAGCAGGAGGAGGAAGGAGAATTAAGTGAAGTGCATTGCAGGGTGCAAGCATACAATAAGATAAAAGGAACAAATTCAACGATTCCTAGCAGGGTAGGATGACTGTGTCTAACAAAAATGTATCGTACTTGATTGATGAACATCCTAAACACTATGACTTGATCACTATTCCTTATATATGTGTAACAGATTTTCTCAGGTACCCCATTAATTTGCACAATAAAAAATAAAATGTATCAGAAAATTAATAAGCTGTAGCATTTAAAATATTTCAGTCTTGTCTTCGCACCATGGACAGCTACATAATAATTTGACTCTCCTAGGACAGCCATTGAGCCTCATGTGTAGATCAATATCGGCATCCCTGTTGCCATCAAGATCCCAATCCTCAATGTTTTTTGTTTCTTTTTTAATCAACTTAATTGAAGTATAACATGCACCTATAAATGTAACAGATTCGTAACTTTTTTTTTTTCTTCTTGAGCTGGAATCTCACTCTGTTACCCAGGCTGGAGTATAGTGGTGCTGTCTTTGTCTTGAGGGTTCAAGCGATTCTCCTGCCTCAGCCTCCTAAGCAGCTAGGACTACAGGCACACACTGCCACACCTGGCTAATTTTTTGTATTTTAGTAGAGACAGGGTTTCACTGTGTTGCCCAGGCTGGTCTCAAACTCCTGAGCTCAGGCAATCCACCAGCCTCAGCCTCCCAAAGTGCTAGTATTACAGGCGTGAGCCACTGCGCCTGGCCCCAGTCTTTTTATAACTTGTGGTTTGTTTGTCCTATCTAAAAAGTCTGCCTACCCAAAGGTTTTGAAGATTTTCAGCTTTATTCTAGAAGTTGTATAGCTTTACCGTTTACCATTAGGTCTTTAATCACTTTGAGTTAATGTTTACAAATGGTGTGAGAGAAGAGTCGAAGTCAGTATTCTCCAAATGAATATCTACTTATTCCAAGACTATTTGTTGAAAAAAAAGAAAAAACTATACTTTTCCTCAATTGAATTTTCTTGGTACTTTTGTCAAAAAGCAATTGACTCGTGTGTGTGTGTGTGTGTGTGTGTGTGTGTCTGTGTGTGTGTGTGTGTGTGTCTGTGTGTCTGTGTCTGTGTCTGTGTGTGTCTGTGTGTGTGTGTCTGTGTGTGTGTGTGTGTCTGTGTGTGTGTGTGTGTGTCTGAGTTGTGTGTGTGTGTGTCTGTGTGTGTGTGTCTGTGTGTCTGTGTCTATTTTCTGGGCTTTTTGTTTTGTTTCATTGGTCTGTGTATCTTTCCTTAGCCAATTCCATGCTTGCATCATTGTTGCATCTTTATACTGTCTTGAAATAAGCAATATAAGTTCTCTAATCCTTTGTTTTTCAAAGTTATTTGGCTATTCTATGTCATTTGCATTTCTATATAAAAATTAGAATCAGCTTATAAATTTCTCCCAAAAAAATTGGCTATGATTTAGATTGGGATTGTATTAAATCTATAAATGAACATCTTAACAATATTTAATATATATATATTTTTTTAGATGGAGTCTTGCTCCATCACCAGGCTGGAGTGCAGTGTCGCAATCTCAGCTCATTGCAACCTCTGCCTCCTGGGTTCAAGCAGTTCTCCTGCCTCAGCTGCCCAAGTAGCTAGGACTACAGGCATGTGCCACTATGCACAGCTAATTTTTGTATATTTCGTAAAGACAGGGTTTCACCACATTGTCCAGGATGGTCTCGATCTCTTGACCTGGTGATCTGCCCGCCTCAGCCTCCCAAAGTGCTGGGATTACAGGTGTGAGCCACTGCACCTGGCCTAGTATTTCTATCTTTATATGGTGTATCTATACATTTATTTGTCTCTTTAATTTCTCTCAGCAACATATTGTGGTTTTCAGTGAGAAGTCTTGAACAACTCAAACTTGTGCAATTGTGATTTTATATTTCATTTTCTAGGTGTTTCTTTCTGGCACATAAAAGCGTAATTGATCTTTTATATCAGCCTTGTATTCTGTGACCTTGCTAAATTTGCTCTTAGTTCTAGTAATTTTTTTTTGTATATTCCTTAGTTGTCTATCTAAACAAGTATGTTATCTCACAATAATGAGATTTTTTTTTTACTGGTTTCTTTCCAATCTATATGTTTTTTAATTGTTTTATTGCATTGGGTGGGACTTTCAGTATAAAAGTGAATAAAAGTGTTGAGATTTCACGATTTTGTGTTGTTCCCCATGGTAGGAAAATGTGTTTGATCTTTCACTATTAAATAGGATATTGGTGGCCAGGAGCAGTGGCTCATGCCTGTAATCTCAGCACTTTGGGAGGCCAAGGCAGATGTATCACCCAAGGTCAGGAGTTCAAGCCTGGCCAACATGGTGAAGCCTCACCTCTCCTAAAAATACCAAAAAAAAAAAAAAAAAATAGCTGGCTGTGGTGGTAGGCACCTGTAATCCCAGCTACTTGGGAGATTGAGGCAGGAGAATTGCTTGAATTCAGGCAGCAGAGGTTGCAGTGAACCAAGATCATGTCATTGCACCCCAGCCTGGGTAACGACAATGAAAGTCTATCTCAATAAACAAACAAACAAACAAATAAATAAATAAATAGGATATTGGCTATAGGTTTCCAATAGATGTTCTTTAGCAGGTTGGGAAAGTTTCTTCTACTCATAGTTAACCGAAGGCTGTATGATGAATGGGTACTGGAAGTTTTCCAAATGCTTTTTCCGCATTTATTTCGATGATCATATTGTTTTACTCCTTATTTGCTTAATTTGGTAAATCACATTGCTTTATTTTTAATGTTGAACCAACCCTGCATTCCTAGGATTAACATTACTTCATCAAAATATATGATCTTTTTTACATATTGCTTGATTTGCTAAAATTCTATTTAAAAGAATATTGCTCCATAGTTTTCTTGTAATGTTTTTCTGATAATGCTGATCTCATAAAATGAATAGTGTTTTCTCCTCCTCTGTTTTAAGAACAATATATAGGATTGGTCTAATGTCATTAGGTAATGTTGGTTAATAGTATTGTTCAGGTCTTTTAAATTTTTGCTGATTTTCTGTTCAGTTGTTCTATCAGTTACTTACAGAACAGTGTTAAAATCTCCAAGTACAATTGCAAATGGGTCTAATTCTCCTACCAGTTCTGCCAGTTTTTGCTTCATTTATTTTGTACTTCTGTTGGTTTATGCACATTCAGAATCACTGTGGCTTCCTGGTGAATTCACCCTTTTGTCATTATGAAATGTTATTCATTTCTACTAACAACCTTGTTCTTTGTCTCATAGGAATGTAGCTATTCCAGCTTACTATGATTATTGTTTGCAATCTTTTCCCACCCTTTTAACTTTTGACCTGTATAGTTCATGTCTTGTAGACATCATATAGTTGGCATCTTTTTTATCTACTCAGTCTCTATTTTTTAATTGGAGTGTTTAGATCAGTTATATCTACTTCTGTTCTATCTAATCTGTATTATTTCATTCAGTTTTTTTCGTTTTGTTTTAGATAGAATCCGGCTCTGTCACACAGGCTGAGGTGCAGTGGCACAATCTCGGCTCACTGCAGCCTCCACCTCCCAGGTTCAAGTGATTCTCCTGCCTCAGTCTCCCGAGTAGCTGGGATTACAGGAACATACCACTATGCCTGGCTAATTTTTGTGCTTTTAGTAGAGACAGAGTTTCATCATGTTGGCCAGGCTGATCTTGAACTCCTGACCTCAGATGATTCACCCACCTCAGCCTCCCAAAGTGCTGGGATTACAGGCGTGAGCCACGGTGCCTAACCTGATCCAGAATTTTTTTCATTTCACATATTGTGTGTTTCACCTCTGCAATTTCCACTTTGTTTCATTTTATACCTTTTCTTTTTCCCCTCATTTTGATCATGTTTTCCTTTAAATCCCTATGCATGTTCCTAATAGCTGTTGTACTGTCCTGATCTGCTCATTCCATGCTCTGTCATTTCTGGATCTTGTTCTATAGACTGATGTTTCTTCTGGTCAAGTGACATTTTCCTACTTTATTTTTTCTCTGAATGCCTGCTAATTTTTATTGAATATTAAATATTACTAATGTTCCATTGGGTTGAGTTTTATTGTCTTTCGTTAATGAATAATGAGGTTTGTTTTAGCAGGTGATTAAATTATTCGCAGCTTGAGGTTATTTAGATGTGTTTTAAAGCTTTTTAAGGGCATGTCTAGAGTAATTCTAGGCCTATTTTAGCAAAACATCTTCAACATGACCATTCTATTAACTGTATTAAATGCCCTGATTGTTCAATGAGGTCTCTTCCGTGTGCTTGGTTGGAATATTAAAGTCTCCTAGCCCTCTATGAGCTCTGGAAATCATTCTGCTTACAGCTCTTTAGTCACTGCTTTTTGCCTGGCCTGTGGACTTTCATTCTGTACATGCACATGTTAGTATTATTCAGCCACGAATTCAAAGAGACTTCTGTGCAGATTATCAGGGTTATTTCTGTACACAGCGTTTCTCTCTCTCTCTCTCTCTCTCTCTCTCTCTCTCTCTCTGTCTCTCTCTGTCTCTCTCTATCTCTCTCTGTCTCCCCTCTCCATTTAGGGGAACCACTATACTTTCTTGTGCTTCCCCTCCCTACACTGCTGTCCAAAAATCACTACCAGCCAGAAAACTAAAAAAAAGTAGGATTCCTTTTTTTTTTTCCCCTCTATTCTCAGACATCATGGTTCTGCTCTGCCTGGTGTCTAATGCCTGAAACCTGTCATTTCATAGATTGTGTCCAGTGTTCTAGTTACCTTCGGCTGGAAGACAAGTTACTCCTGTTTTTCCTGTTACCCCTTCGTGGACAAAAACAGAAATCTGATTTCGTTTTTGTTGTCTTTGCTGTTGTGGAGTCTGTGTTTTACATGGGGGAGGGCTGTGTCTGAGGGAGCTGTAGTGAAGCAGGGACAGTGTCAGAAGGACACTCAGGCCCTGTCTAATCTCTCGTGCTTCTCCTGTCTCCACCAGGGGTCATTGCTGTGGTGATTTTCACCATCCTCTGCACGCTGGTCTTCCTGATCCGGTACATGTTCCGCCACAAGGGCACCTACCACACCAACGAAGCCAAGGGGGCAGAGTCGGCAGAGAGCGCGGACGCTGCCATCATGAACAACGACCCCAACTTCACAGAGACCATTGATGAAAGCAAAAAGGAATGGCTCATTTGAGGGGTGGCTGCTTGGCTATGGGAGAGGGCGGAGGGAATTACTAGAGAGGAGAGAAAGGGACAGAACACCCTGCTTCATACCCTTGAGCACATCCTTAAAATATCAGCACAAGTTGGGGGAGGCAGGCAATGGAATATTCTTGAGACTGATCACAACAACAACAACAAAAACAAACTTTTTAATATTTCTTTATAGCTGAGTTTTCCCTTCTGTATCAAAACAAAATAATACAAACAAACAATGCTTTTAGAGTTTAAGCAATGGTTGACATTTGTAGGTAATATCTGTCTTATTTTGTGTGTGTTTAGAGGTGTTCTAAAGACCCGTGGTTACAGGGCAAGTTTTCTACGTTTTTACGAGCCCTTAGAACGTGGGTATTTTTTCTTGAGAAAAGCTGATGCACCTACATATGGCCCCAACATTCTCTTCCCTTTGCTTCTAGTCAATCCTTAATGGGCTGTTGTAGTAAATAGTTCGTGTTCATCTACCATTTACTTTGACATCCTTTAAGTTGGAAAAGAAAGCGGCAGAGAGAACTTAGTATTCACCAGTTTTCAAGCAGACCTCAGTCTGCACCAGCTCTCTGGAATCTGGGGTTCCTGACCGATACCAGCAGTTGAAGAGAGTACATGGCACCTGGTGTGCAACGACACAATTAGCACAACTGGAGAGAGACGTTAAAGAACCAGGGAAGGTCGTTTATATTAGGGTTGTTGGTTTGATTTTTCATTGAATTCTACTAAGCTAATACTGTTCCACATACGTAGTCTTACACCAATTCAATATCTGTAACTATCTGCTGAAATACCGTGGTGACCAGCTGTTACAAAACATTTTTTCCTGTTTTACCTGAAACATACTGGATTTATATGTGTATCAGCGCCTCAGTGGGGAATTAGAGCCAGATGTTATGATTCGTTTGCTCTTTTTCTTTTATAGTTGTAACAAAAGTATGGATAATTTCTAGTGACCGCATCAATTAGGCTGCGACTAGGTAGTTTTTCCACCCCTGTGACAAAATCCTAACAGACGGTGTCCTATAAATGGACGCAACACAATAAAGCCAAGTTATTACTGCTGTCACTCTGGATCATATGGAAAACACTGCCATATTTTCAATCAACTACTCCACGTGTTGTTCCGTTCAGTCACACTGCTGTGATTCAGACGGACACATTCAAACCTCAACTTCCTCACAAACCTGGCACTTGTTGCTTCTCAGAGGATGGACAAGTGTAGCTGATCACGCCTCTTAATCAGAAACCTTGACCCAGTTATTTAACAAATAACTCATTGATTATATTTAAAAATAATAGACTTCATGTAAACAAGTGGGGACAATGCATCCAAAAATAATTTTATTTTTTAAACTGATTACACGGAAATTACTTCTAGAAAGACTGTCACTTATAGGCATGGTGCAATGGCTCACGCCTGTAATCCCAGCACTTTGGGAGGCCGAGGTGGGTGGATCTCGAGGTCAGGCGATAGAGACCATCCTGGCTAAAACGGTGAAACCCTGTCTCTACTAAAAATACAAAAAAAATGAGCCAGGCATGGTGGCATGTGCCTGTAGTCCCCGTACACGGGAGGCTGAGGGAGGAGACTCGCTTGAACCCAAGAGGTGGAGTTTGCAGTGAGCTGAGATCATGCCACTGCACTCTAGCCTGGGCGGCAGAGCAAGACTCCACTCAGAAAAAAAAATAAGAAGACAGACTACCATTTATGATCATTATATTTCACACCTCATAAGCCCTTTTTTAAAAATCTTGAGACTCCATTATTCTGAGGAATTAAATATGACCACTTTTTCCTTCTCTGCCTGGAAGAGGTTAAAAGGAAGTTTCAAAGGTATGGATGCTATTGTTCTGATGGCCTGGCTCAAAAAATGGAAATTCTACTTTGTTAGAAGTATGCAAACTTTTTCAAGAGTCTCAATATGCCTAACTTACTGGAGCATGTCAGTTTCTTGGGTAATGGAAGACGTTACCTAGAGTTGCCAATAACACATTACAGCAATGCACAGCAGGTTCCAAAGGAGACACTGGACCAGTTCCTTCCCATGCAGGTCAAGGGAACAGAACAAAAGGGAATCCTGATGCTCTTTTACCATTGCTGTCTGAGCTCAGGCACTGTCATGAACACCCTTAATTTTAAAAGGTTTTAATCATTCTTCTATAAAACATTTAAAATGGAAAAGTATTTAATATCACTAAATATCAGAACAATGTAACATTTACAAATGACATACTGAAAGCAAAGTCTGTTTTAGTTAGCCAAGATGATTACCATTAAGAGTTATTTTATGTATTATTGAAAGCAAATTTTAAACATAATGTTTTCTAAGTGTTTCTGGGTTTTGTTTTTTGGTTTTTTTTTTTTTTTTTTTTTTTTTTTTTTGAGATGGAGTCTCGCACTGTCACCAGGCTGGAGTGCAATGGCGCCATCTCGGCTCACTGCCATCTCCACCTCCTGGGTTCAAGCAATTCTCCTGCCTCAGGCTCCTGAGTAGCTGGGACTACTGGCGTGTGCCACCATGCCAGCTAATTTTTTTGTAATTTTAGTAGAGATGGGATTTCACCATGTTGGCCAGGATGGTCTTGATCTCCTGACCTCGTGATCCTCCCGCCTCAGCCTCCCAAAGTGCTGAGATTACAGGCGTGTGTCTTTCTGGTTTTTAAACCTGGTTTACAGGTATTACTTCTGCACTTAACAGATAATGCCAGATGAAAATATACTATTTCTTGGAATTCCCACGATAGCTCTGTTCATTATTCATTGTCTCAACACTTTTCCTTTTCCCCAAAATGAATAGGGGATTAAAGCCACCCAAAATAGCTTCTGCTACTAAAATGTTCTCATCCTTTCTCCTCCCTCTCCTTTTCCTGCCACAAAAGGTGAAAAATGAGATCCAATCCTCTCACCAACATTTCAAACCTAGGACACTAGAATGACTGCAGGGATCCGTGCTTCTCCCATATCACCACCAATTAAGACATTTAGGACACTGTCTCTCTCTTAAAGAGGGTTCCGATGTGACCATCAGACAGGAAACCAAAAGGTGGATAAAGGATTACCTAACGCGGTGCCAAATAAATGCTGGAAATCTTGACCTCTCCTTGGGATTATGGGTTTAACAAAAAATCCCTGCATCTGTTTATGAAGGCCATATCCAGTACATTTTAAACAGTCATCTATTTATGTGAAGAAAAGGAAGTAAGTCTTTCTTCCAGCTCTCTCCCTGGACAGCCTAGCACAATGCAGCCTTGATAACAAAGACATTACCACCCAAGGATCTCAGTGCCTAGTCCTGCTTTGCCATTCACGTCTCACAGAATCTTGACATCTTACATTCCAATACATTGTCAATCAAGCACAAGCATGCTGGTAGTAGCCTCTTAAAATAATATGTATAGACGGGGAAAAAAAAAAAAAGAGGCTGTTTTGAAGTTTCAGGGAAAGTTAATGGCTGATTAAGGTTGTGCAGGAAACATCCGTGTATGAAGCAAATATCGATGTTTTGAGAAGCTGAGAGTAGATGACTTTGAATGAATGCAATGTTAGTGCTATTCTAAGCTCTCAAAATAGCATATTCCCTACGGTTCAAGAAAGCTGATCCAGGAGGCTGAAAAAGTTGTTTTGTTCAATGATTTCCTGGCCTTTCTTAATATAAAAAATATATTTCCCCTTATGGCTTTCAATCAACTGCTCAAAAAAAGAGATTTGTTATCTGGAAGTTTTTATTAAAGGGCTGAAAACGAGAATTTAGAGAGCCTTTACTAGAAAAGTCTTACTGCCCTACATTTGACAAACAAGCATCCTTTACTCACAAGAGCAGGAATCCCGAGGCACAAGAAAAAGCAATGGCCTGAGCCAAAGGGTTCATCTTAATGCTACTTTTGACCATCTGCTGAGCAGCCACCATAAGCAGGCTGAGAGCTGGGCAGACAGAGCCGTCAGAAGCAACTTCAGGAACAAGCACACAGCTATGGAACTTGTAATGCAAGCGTTCAGGTCATGTCAAGAAGCTTTTCTCTGCTTCTGTGTTGGAATCTGTTCTTTTCAATCCTACTTCTCTTCGCCTCCTGGCCACACTGTAGCCCATATCCTCCTCCTATGCAGTGAGTATGTCTCATGTCCTCCAAACAACTAACACCTGATTTGAAACTGCCCCACCTTTTTTTTCTTTTCACTACCCTGTTGAGCAGTTTTCAGAAAAAAGGGCAGCAATTATTAAATTGGATTCAAGTCGGCCAGCCAAAGATAGGTCCTCAGTTGCTAGTCCCAGTGGAACCACCTGATTCTAAACTGGCGGGAAACAAACAATAATAATGTGCCCAGCTGACTTGAGCTAAGAACTAATGCGTCCCCAACACCCGCCCCCCTCTTTTTTTTTTTTTTTTTTGAGAGAGGGCGTCTTGCTCTGTCACCCAGGCTACAGTGCAGTGGTGTGATCTCGGGCTCACTGCAACCTCTGCCTCCCGTGTTCAGACAATTATCCTGCCTTAGCCTCCCAAGTACCTGGGATTACAGGCCCCTCATCATCACACCCAGTTAATTTTTTTTTTCTTGTATTTTTAGTAGAGATTGGGTGTCACCATGTTGGCCAGGCTGGTCTTGAACTCCTGACCTCAAGTGATCCGCCCGTGTCAGCCTCTCAAAGTGCTGGGATTACAGGCGTGAGCCACTACCAAGCTGGGCTGGCCCCATTTTTTAAATGATGTTTTGGCAAGAGGAGACCCTGAGTATTAGTGGACAGCATCCTGTGTAACCTTGGTCAAGTCCTCAAACTTTTATCCCATATTTAAGATGGAGCTGTTTTACCTACTTGGTAAAACAGTTGTGAGGTGCCATCGATTCCTGACTGCAAAATACCTTGAAACCCTTATATAAAAGCTAACGTCAATGGAGCCTAGTGGAAGACTTGCTTTGTGGCTTGTGGTTGAAAGTCACATCGAAACATAAATGTGGCCACATTCAGGAACTGGAGACTTAACTGGCATTGCCCTACAACTTGACTATTAATTTTGCAGACTGACCTGTCAACACTGGGAGATGTAACACAGCAAAAGGACAGAGAAATGAGAATTTTTTTTGTGCAGAAAGCCCTAAATTCCCATCTGAACGTAACTTATAGCTCACCTTACCTACTCTTACACATGCCCTCCAACATGCTAGACTGGCTTATACATAGGCCAATGCAAAATACAAATGTGACATGTTCATGTAGCCTAGGGACTCTGTGCCTATTCTCCATGTACCCTGTATGGTAATGTTTGAAATTTTAAAGTACATTTCCTTCACAGCAGTATTTTTTTTCATGAGTGGGATATAAATCCCATATTCAATGAAATCGGGAAATCACATTGAGAAGTTGGTTATCTCCCACTGAGCAAAGACTGGCAGGAGATAATAAAAATAAATATGGGCACACATGTATTAATAAACAGCACGCATTTACAAGTTTACTTTCCATATAAAATTGTGCTGTAAGAACAGTTCTACCAAGACAGTCTGGCACTATTTCCAAGTCTCAGTTAATTTACAGCAACTGCTGCTTTCAGAGATGGCTGTGAAAATATGGAAGTTCCTCTCAAGTAGGCCAAGAAACAGTTCTAGATTTTACTGATTCTAAGTTTTATTTTGTCAGGTTTTTAAACATTTTTTCAGTGAGCATGGCGACTGCAGAGGTTAGAGCTGTGAAAAGCTGGGCTAAATATGCTTTCTGTAAAGTCAATTAGGATTCCATCCCTGTGAAATAACGCAAAATTTCACTCTCTAAAAGCAACAGCATGTAAACTAGAATGAAAGAAGGAAATTATGTACGTATGCCTAATATTCTTTGTGAATGTCTTTCATTTAACTAAAATTATATTAGAAGCCAGATTGATAAATAAAAAATTCAAAATAGTTTTAATTATCCTAAAATCGATTCTTCGTGTTTTGTACCGCTTGTTTCTCTTAGGAGCAATTTTC